CATTCCATGACCCGCAGTTTAATAATTGTGGTCTCTGCTTAATGTCTTGATAATAATATCCAAGACCAACTTGCCCAGAAATACATAGTTTAAAAGGAAGGGGAGTCATTTTAATATGTGTTGACTTAATCAAATGTTAAGGCTTCTGATAAACGGCACAGACGTACTGCAAACATTGAAGACTAATGCAAATAATCCAGCTAGTATACTACATAGTGTTCCATTGCGCCAAGGATTCCTCACTGAGATCCGCTAACTCTTTAATTAAAAGATGGAAATGTGTTGTAAGCAACCCGTTCCTTCCTGCATTAATGGGGCCAAGCGTTCTGCTTTGTCTTCCTGATTGTTTATAATGAAATGACCTCCTGTTCCCATTCTCTCCCACTACTTTGTACAGTAGAAATAAATAGTTTCACAATGCACTATGGTCATACAGTGACCCGCAGGTCAAGACCTCACCCTCCTTCCCTTCATACACACCGACCTCCTCCTGTCCCCCAAAACTCCTCACACACACAAATACACACACACACACACACACACACACACACCCTGGAGAAAAGTACAAAGGGTCCCTTGTGTAGGAGCACAGAGGCCTGGGAGACAGCGCTTAACATGATGCTGATATTTTCATGGGAGGAGTGCAAGGAGAGAAAAGGATCTCCTCTGCTGGGGCGGCTCATTCAACCACGCTGTCTGACCTTCATCCTACCCCCGACTCCTTGGCTTGACTCACAACAACACACTGCAATCACAGATAGCACAGCCAAAGCCTGGCACAGCGCTATCCAACATGCTAGCACTACACAGGCCGTACAGATGATACATGCTAATACTAACAAATACAGAACACACAAGAGCACCAAAGGCCTGTTCACACCAAATTTATAGAATTTTTTTGCTGTAAGCCAGTTTGCTAATTTCCACCACTTTGCTTATATGAGATGACACACCCTCCATGTAAAACCCTGCCCTCCAAAGACATCTCAGCCAACCGGATGTCAGCAAAATGATTCACAAGCAAAAAGCATTTTTGGGCGGAGACTAGGGCTGTGCAATTTGGGGGAAAATATCAAATTGCAATTTTTTTGACAGATATTGCGATTGCGATTTGATTTGCGATTTTAAATTTGCAAAGTCAAGCTTCAGCTCAATATTGCCAATAATGTGCAGCACAGTATGGGTATCATTACCCTGCTGAAAAAAAACAATAGAAACCATCACAGAAATTCTTATAGTTTCCATTAAACCATTACAAAATTCCTTTTTGTTTTGGGCATTATTCCAATAGGAATTACTGTTGTTCTATTGGTTGCCATCTGCCAGATTACATCCCACCAATAGAATCCATCAAATAGACACCATTATAGTTTACATTAAAACCAATACAATTCCCATTATAACCCTGAAATCCATTACGTTTTTTATTGTGCTTTGGGAGGGGTTCTATTGTTTTTTTTTTTCAGCAGGCAAGATTATAAAAGATTATAATGGTTTAAATGGTGAGTGTAATATCGCGTCCATATCGCAGGCTTTGCGATTAGGAAATCGCAACGTCTCAAATCGCGATTTCGATTCGATTTCGATTAATCGCACAGCCCTAGCGGAGACCCTAAAACGTCTTTTTTTGGGGTGGTAAATTGCTAATATTTTCAGTAGTGATGCACTGAAATATTGGCAAACAATAAGTTTTGGTTGAAATGGCAAAAAAATACATTTGAAATTTTTTAGACAAAATGGTTTTGGAGGGCCCTCAAGTTATCCTAGGTAAATATGACTTTCTTCTTTTAGATAAATACAAATGGAGTTATATTAAAAAATGTCCAGGCTCTCCAAGCTTTATAATGGCAGTGAATGGGTGTCGAGATTTTTAAGTCCAATAAAGTGCATCCATCCATCATAAAAAGGGCTCCACATGGCTCCGGGGGGTTAATAAAGGCCTTCTGAAGTGAAGCGATGAGTTTATGTAAGAAAAATATCCATATTTAAAACTTTATAAACTATAATATCTAGCTTCCGCTGACTGTCGTACGCGTGTTCACAAGAGAGTGTCGTTCCAGCGGCTGACGTAGGACAGGCGTAGCGTAAGCTCCGGTGAGAATATGCTAGTCTCGCGAGAACCTCTCCTCTTGGCTTATATCAAAATCCTCTGACATTTTTCTTTACAAATACTCATTTTGTACTTCTAATTCGTACTCCGCGTTAGTCACTTCTCACCGGAGCTTATGTTATGCCTACATCCTCCACCGGAACACCACTCTCTTGTGATCGCGCGTACGACAATCTCGACACCCATTCACTGCCATTATAAAGCTTAGAAGAGCCAGGACATTTTTTAATGTAACTCCGATTGTATTCATCTGAAAGAAGAAAGTCATATACACCTAGGATGGCTTGAGGGTGAGTAAATCATGGGATCATTTTTGGGTGAACTATTCCTTTAAATGTGGTGTGACAGATCACTGTAGCACCTCAGCTCAAGCGGCAAGTGAACCGAACATCTCTTTCTATTTATTACTAGTTATAGCACAAAAATAAACAAGAATGAACATCAGAAGGTGTGTTGATAGAAACTGTACAACTTATTGAAATCTATCATGTCTCTAGTAAACACTCACCGTTTCAACCACAAAAAGGCATCAATAAAACAGCTCTGTAAACAGTGTGTCACATAATGTTACAATTACCTCAGGAAAACAATTCAATATACACAGCTGTCAGTCAATGAGAAAAAAATCTAGAGACGAGTTTTCTTTTTGCCAGATTCCAATAATCTATCAATTCCAAAATCTATTGAACGCCTTGTCAATTGACGATGTTCAAATATCTTAGTGAATTTTGAGTGCATATTGTGGAAAATTAGTGTTTAATTTCAGCAATTCTATATACATCTCATCTGCTGTCATCCACATTATATCAGTCATCAGTAATCCTTGGCTGCGTTTCCCAAAAGCTTCAAAAGTCGAGTAGATATTACAAACCATTGGCACCAACGGTCTCTACGATCTACTTAAACTTCCAATACTTTGGGAAACACATTTGTGGTCTCACTCTGTACATATTGAAAAACCCTATTTGTTTATTCTACATTCTTCTAAAATGACTTTTACAGCCATTGATCATCCACAGATTGTTAACCAAGTTGAGTCAATACCGTGAAAGCAGAACCATTTATAGGCGAGTGCGTTCACATGATGTTGGCCAGTCACGCTGACTGCTGCCATGCCCTATCTCAGCTTTGACAGAATCCATTCACTAAATGAATGTCTATCTCAGCAACAGGTTACCAATTAACTAATAAAATAACACACCACATTGACAAGAAATCATTATTAGTAGACAAAAACAAAAGGGTATTCAAAAGTATGCAAAGCCAAATGGCAACTGTGACTAATAGATAGTGCCACCAACTCCAAAGGAAGAAAAACGTCCATGCTAGAGGTGCCTCTCAATCATGCTAATGCAGTAAAGACACTAACAGTAACTCAAACAAACTCACGAATGTCAGCGCTGTGGGTGGAAGTGTACATACGATCAGGTGACTGATTACCACGGTGGAATTCAATTCTGAGTGTTTGCATAATTGACGCTCTGCAGATTAGCATGTCTTTACACTTAAACACATCCAGGACAAAGGCAGTAGATACAGACATGAGAACAGAAGCATAAGTCTAGACAGATGGAAGTAGTCAAACCTCATTAAACAAATAAACCCTAAATAACTAATACGGTTATCTTTGTTGAAACAATGAAAGTGCTGTGTAAACTTACATATACACATAACGTACATTTGCTGTGCTTCAAAATCTTTCAAGTTAACACAACTGTTTTCCTCTGGGGATTAGTACAGACATCATTTAGGATGGCAATTATTTAAGAATACGCATATCCCTACATATTTCGTATTTAGATATTTTTAAAAGCAACTAGCAACTAGTAAACTAATAGTCAACTAATCAGTCTTGGGGTCAATGACAAGTATGATTGTCCATGATAAAGAAAAGGAAAAACTAGTTAAATCTAGTTTGAACACACATGTGCAAAGTTCAAGTTCTGTTGGCTTTATGTGGATTTTTTAAACCATCGTCAAGAAAAGATTTTCAAAAAATGTTTTTAAATATATTTATTTTAAATGTGTATTAGCCTATTGTAGCTTAAAAAGTGTCTTTACATATCTATTGAGAACTAATTCATAAATATTAAGTTTCTGGGGAGATCCACAACATTACATTTTAAAACCTGAGCCTTTTCATTAAAAAAAAATTTATTATCTAATATTTTGAGGACCTACTGACCTTGACGGACAGTCATGAGAGTCTGAAGCGTTCTTTTTTTATGATATAATTTCCGGTTTTGTTTTTCATCTGCAAGATTCAGAATGTTGCCTGTACCAAGTGGCTTTAATTTAAAAAATAATTAATTGAAAAATTAATATAAGACTAATAATATAAATAATAATATATTACTTAATAGGATTTTATTTTAAATGTTCTTTTCTTTTAATGAGGCTTCATTATGATATCAGGATATTTTTCATTTAAATTCAGAAACTTCAGAAAGTCATTGTGATGCATTTTAATGCATTTATAAATAAATTACTAAAAAGATGATGTCATTTACCCCTTAATTGGAAGCCCTAAACAATTCACATTTCTTAGCTTTTACATAAATAGTCTTCTTGAAAGCAACAGAATGGAACAGAAATCAGTAGATCCCACTTCTTTCAAAGTTGGACTATTTTTAACTTGAAAAAGCTAATTTTTTATGGGATGCTCAAAAACCGTACAAGACATGATGCAACAGCCAAAGACATGCATCTGCATTTTCATGACTCTAGCAATGATGCTTTAAATGGGATGAATTTAAAGATACAACTTTTCAAAGGAAGTACTTTTTCAATCTAGCCATTCTCAATTCCCAACCCTAGTCATCATACTCAAATATAATCAAGGAACAGATAAACGTCAAATCTGAAGTTTAGCTGGGATAAAGTGACCTACCTGTTTCCAGAGGAACTCATCATCCTGATTGATCCTCCACGTAGTGAGGAGGTGTATGGAGGACAGCACTCCTCCGCTGAGCACTGCCGCCCTCATCCGCACGGGCAGCAGCGTGTAGATGATGTAGATGAAGAACACGGACCACCAGATCCCCTCGGAGGCGCTGCGGGGGGCCACCATCAGCACCCCGAACACCTGCACCACGATTAGCACTCCAATCACAAGGTAGCTGACCATCCACATGTAGTCCTGGTGGAACCCATTTCGGTTGCACACCACCATTAGCGCCAAGAACAGGGCCATGGCCACAGAGAGCACGGAGGCATAGACCACATCAGGAAGTCCGTGAATGCAGTGGAAGGTGAGCATGACCCCACAAACGATCACCAAGACGCCCATCAGCATCGTAAGCGAGCTCTGGTTGAGCCTAAAGAAGTAGCGCTGGTAGAGACGCTCCAGTTTGCGTGACTGGAACTTCTTGGATTGGAACACGCGAACCACCCGCTGCCAGCAGTCTGCCGCCGTCACCGACCCCGAGCCGCTGGCAGAGTCATCGCTGGAGCTGTCGCAACCCAAGCCGCCCCCTTTCCTCCCCTTGACCTCGCCGTCCTCGAAACCCAGGTCCACAGATTTAAGCCCCACCCCCTCCCCCCCCATTTTCCCGTAGTGGTCTTCCTGCCATCCGCAGCGCACGCCGAAGTTGCTCCCAGCCGTACCTCCTCCTCCTGACCGAGTGGCCTGAGCGTGGGGCGGCTGGGGAGGAGGCTCCATGGCTTCCACGTCCCGCAGGCAGCTCATGTAGCGTGGGTTGCAGAGAGAGGAGCCAACCTTGCGCTTGGACTTCTTGCCATTGCGCTCGCCCCACGCGGTCTTACGGTCATCCACTCTGGCTACTAGGAAGCCGTTGATCCAGGACATTCTGTAGGAAACCCAGAGTTGTCATGACAGTGTATGATGGCACTCTACCATGTTTACGTGGGTCAATGACAAAAAAAAATGTAGTTTAATGTTGGTTTAATATGGTTGGTTTAAAATGACATCTATGAAATATTTCAGTCAGGATTCAGGCCTCATCATAGCACAGAAACTGCGCTCGTTAAAATAAAAAATGACCTACTTCTAGCTTCTGACCAAGGATGTGTCTCAATACTAGTTTTACTTGATCTTAGTGCTTCATTCGACACTATAGACCATGACATACTCTTAGGCCGACTACAATATTACACTGGTATTCAGGGACAGGCATTACAGTGGTTTAGATCGTACTTCGCAGACCGTTACCATTTTGTCTACTTAAATTGTGAAAAGTTGTGAAGAGTTAACATCAGTAAATTATGGGGTGCCACAAGGATCCGTGTTGGGCACCATGTTATTTTCAATATAAATGCTGCCACTTGGTAACATTATTAGAAAACATGGAATTAGTTTCCACTTCTATGCCGATGATACTCAGTTATATATTTCATCACGACCAGATGAAATTTCTAAACTATCCAAGTTGACAAAATGCGTTAAAGATATAAACATTGGATGACCAGTAATTTTATCCTATTAAATTCAGACAAGACTGAGGTATTACTTATTGGACCAAAAACCTGCACACAGAATCTCTTAGAATACAACTAGAAGGATGTACTGTTATGTCATCATCTTCAGTTAAAGACCTGGGTGTTATATTAGACAGCAACTTATCTTTCGAAAATCACATTTCATATGTTACAAAAACAGCCTTCTTCCACCTCAGAAACATTGCTAAGCTATGGAACTTGTTATCTGTTTCTGACGCAGAAAAGCTAGTTCATGCATTCATGACCTCTCGACTAGATTACTGTAATGCACTACTAGCTGGTTGTCCTGCATTTTCAATAAACAAGCTACAGTTAGTCTAAAATGCAGCTGCTAGAGTTCTTACCAGGTCAAAAAAATATGATCATATTACCCCAATTTTATCATCTCTACACTGGTTACCTATTAAGTTCCTTATAGATTCCAAAATATTGCTACTGACTTCACAACTGTGAGCAGCAAATCAGCATATTAGACACTGAAGAATGGAGTAATGATGCTGAAAATTCAACATCACATGAATAAATTACATTTTAAAATATACTCAAATAGAAAACAGCGATTTCAAATTGTAAAATACTTCACTATAATACTGTTTTTACTGTATTTTTAATCAGATAAATGCAGCTTTGATGAGCATAAGAGACTTCCAAAAATACTAAAAAAAAGCGTATGAACTGCTATTTTAATGTATTTTTTAATAAAAAATTAACAGATGACGTCATTGACTCATGCACATAGCGGAATGTATGGATGAAATTATGCATATTTTGTGGAACTCTTTACCTGTGTGGGTTCTGGTGTGCGCCCCAGCCCTGATCTTGTTGTCCAAGACACTCATTTAGAGCGGTGGATGAGCGAAAGCAAAAATGTAGAGTTCTGATAAGTGAGTGATGGTGATCACGGAGTCCAGTTTTGTTTAGTTACTGAAGACTGGCCTGGTGGATCTGAAGATCTGATACTTTGTTCAACTGTATCTTCATAACGTCTGGATCTGTTGACGATAAACCATCAATAGAAACAATGTAAGATGAATAGAATCCATGAATAGAATCGATCCATCTAATGAACTGAATAATTTAAAACTCATGCTTTTTACATGCTTTCACATAGTCTAAAATTCCCTTCCTCTGACACGTAAACTATTTAACAGGCTGAAATTACACAGCACATAAACGAAGCAATAAAAACATCTCTACAACAAATATGGAAAGCACCGGGTTAATTTCCCTAAACTGTCACTGTATTTCTGATCAACTAGAGCAGTGTTCCTCAAATCTTACCCTGGAGGGCCAATGCACTGCAAAGTTTAGCTCCAAACCTGATCAAACTCACCTACCTGTGATTTTCTAATGATCCTGAAGACATTGTGATTAGCATGCTCAGGTGTGTTTGATTAGGGTTAGAGCTAAACTCTGCAGGAAAGTGGCTTTCGTGGACCAGATTTGAGGATCGCTGAACTAGAGGCAGCTGTTAAATCAATATATGTATTACTTCCTTACCAGCAATGATTATTAACAATATGCCGAAGCAAACAAGTTAAGAAGGTTCAGAAACAGTAACATTAGATGTCAGTTTCACATTTAATCTTTGCCATTTTCAGATATTCTGAGCTCTAAATGTTATTCTAGCATGGCAGTGAGTCACAAGGCTGGAAGGACTAGAGATTCTGCTAAAGATTCGACCGGAGATGGATGAGAAAGAGAGTCAAGACATCAGCAAGATCAAATGACAAACTCTGAATCAATTCAAAATGAGGACATTTGCAGGAATGAGTATAAGTGAGATAAATGCCTTTAAATAGTACATTGTAATAGGGCTGGGTGATAATTCGATAACGATAATTATCGCGATATAATTTTCCTCGATAAGACGATATGAAGAATTCGATAAATGTTCGATATAATGTTTATGCGCCAAAAGCGGAACGAAACAGCGCGACTCATTTGAATCGTGCCACACGGACCGTTTATCCGCTCGGATCAAAGTTCAAACTGCCGCCGGCGCGAGCTCACTAGAGCAGATGTGTTTACTCGGTCACGCGAGCATTAAGCAGCGCTGTGAGATCCAGTGTGAAGCGCTTGAATTCATCGATGAACACAAATGACTCGGTGAGTTAAACTAGTTTAAAGCCAAACAGGAGAAACACTGTGTGCAACGAGACATTCATAAGACTTTTCAATCTACAAATCACCATCATTTACCATGGATTTACTGTAGTAACACTCACTGCACCATGGTATTGTGGCAGAAATTTGGGATATTCACACTGAATTTTATTAAAAGAATAATGGTATATACTGGTAGCATGTATTTGTGATTAAGCTATAGCATGTGTGCATTTATACTGAATGTTTTTAGACTACTGTTTTTCATACAAATAGGCTACCTAAAAACCATATAGTTATATTTTTACCATGGTATTGAGGTGCTATATGTGTGGTTTTAACTGCGTTTAACATGATTTAAATGTATGCTACTATGGGAGACCAATGCTTAATTTAAAAAATAAATAAAAACTTGGTCAGAATAACTTTAACCATATAAAACTGAGGTTGCTACAATTTTTACAGATGTTAATGATTTTGATAATGAACAAAAATGTACCTCTGCGTCCTAACTCAAGCTACTATCAAATGAGCATTTCTAAGAGACAAAAAGTGATATTATTAATATTATCAGGCAACCCAAACCTGTTTCTTGATTTGAAACAATATCACTCATTAGAACATGCAGAAACTAAGAAATACATTTTTCTATTTAGATATTTATTTTGTTAAGGAAAATTAATGTACTGGTTTCTACAACTTTCACTTTGGAGCAAAAATCTGGCTTTAAACTTGAAAGAAATAAAGATTTTACATTTACCGTGATAATTATTGATATCGACTGATATGAAAAAAATTATCGTGATAATTTTTTGGGCCATATCACCCAGCCCTACATTGTAATAATCTAAATATATTCTTTTCAAATTGTATGTCTCTATTTCACCATTATCATTTTTAATACTTGTAAAACACAAACAAAAATCACAATAAGCACTACATTTTCATAGCACAGAAAGGTCCCTTTCTTTTAATTCCCCTTCATTTTTTTAACCTTATTGATTGTTTTGTGTATTTTATGTACTCTAAGTACTTTATATGCATTCTCAATATTGTAAATCTTAAGAATCATGCAAATAAAGCTTTATTGACTCCAACGCTGCATATAAAAAGTATCACTGCATAAGCAGATATTATTACACTGCTCTCTGGAACACTTCATTTGCATTGGACAAATATTTCCAAGTACTGACAGTTGTCCAGAGCAACGCTGTATAACTGACTGCTTAACATTAACTTATGACTTCGCATTAATCCACGCTGCCTAATTGTTCAAAGACTTTGGACTCACATTTTTTAGTATTGCATATTAAATTTAGAGGACTAGACATATTGCAGGATATGCCACTTTCGATCAATGATAATTGTTTTTTTAATCTGAAAGCAACAGTCCCTGTATATCCTGCCTAATCAGACAATGACAGATCATCAGAGGTAAGAAGTGATCATCTTAAACGGATCCACCAGCTGTCAATCACTCATTCCTAGCAGCAAATAGAGCATATTTGTCTCGCATATCTGGACCAGCTGGTGATGTTGAACAGTACTAATGGAGAAACAGGAATTTGTTAGTTTCTGTCTTCATCCCTTCACTGGCATTTATTCACATGTATTGGGCATTTTGACTGATGGGAAGTCTGACTCATTGAATCGGCTCTTCTGAACAGTTAATTTCTATCAGACTCAAAAAAGGATGCAGTTGTTCTTTACATTATGACAAAAGCATATTTTAATATGCGTGTTGATAAAACTGTAAACCAAGTCATAAACCTATTTCCAGTAGCATTTATGCCTATTATGGCTATGTACATTTTTCAATGCGTTTCCACTGTTAATAACATTGTAAATCTAGCATTTTCTAAATCTGTATGTACAGTATCTCACAGAAGTGAGTACACCCCGTGGTTTAGACATTAATGGCTGTGTGTTGAGTTATTTTGAGGGGACAACAAATTTACACTGTTATACAAGCTGTACACTCACTACTTTACATTGTAGCAAAGTGTCATTTCTTCAGTGTTGTCACATGAAAAGATATAATAAAATATTTACAAAAATGTGAGGGGTGTACTCACTTCTGTGAGATACTGTACATTTACCAAACTGGTGTTTCTAACAGCTGAGGGAATGGCAGCAAAGTTGACATTTCTCTCTTCTGATCAGTACAAACAATCTGTCGAAATTTTTTCCTCTTTTGTAAAGTCATAGTCATGCTATTGCTAATTTTTCTTTTGCTATTGGAGCAAATGGGAACGCAAGAAAAAAATGCTTATATGTGTTGTAGTTTCCATTTAGCTACTATTAAGGTAACCCATGACTTCCACTTCTGAGAAAACCAGAAATATGAAAAGGGTCCAATAAGGTAACTTACATTTTACCCCCACTGGTTCTCGGCTCAATAGAAATACGATAGAAAGTATGATAGAAATAGTAAGAGTAGTGCTAGCATGCTATGTCTAATTCAGCCAGATCACTCGAGAACCGCTTTGGAACGATTCAGTTCGATTTATGAACGAATCACTCGGTTCTGAGAACCGATTCATTGATAAACTCCAAGTCAAAACCGAACATCGCGCGCTCATTTTGACGACAGAACGCACTAATGCACAGAACAACACATATGAACTCTTATGACCAATCTAATCTGAGTCATATTCAGAATCTATTCTGAGGCCATACTGAAGAATGGCACTGCACAAATATGTGGTTGTAGCTGTAACGTGCATCCTCGCTGGCGCTGGTATCGTGTTGTATTCCCTCCGGGACATTTGCACGACATTTCAACAGCCGCGCACTGATGTTACATAATGCAAATATAGAGATCGCAGTGTCGCATCAGTCTCAACACTATTTGTTATTCATCTAAATCCCCGGTTCCTCTCATGGAAGACAGCTGCATCAATCACATTGTGCTTCCATTTAAAAACAGAAAATAAAAACGCCTATTTACGCAAGACAGCATCGACGCGCGTGCATATAAACATCAACGATCGCCATAACATATGCAAGCTGCATAATTTCAGCGCTTCATCGATGGCTCAAGTTGCCAGAAGAACTATGCAGCATTTCTCCGATAGGCCGTTTGGAGATGTTTCGTTACATAACACTGAGTGTGTGTGTGTGTGCCATATTCGCAGCAGTGACCGTGTCGAGGCTTACAGTAACAGTGTGCGGATACTTGTGCAACACAGCATGTCACACCCGACCGCCAAGTGTGGGCTATACAGCCCCGTCCTTCACCCATAGAGCAGAATTATAGCGCACTACAGGCCGTGCACACGTCCACTCGGTCCATATCTGCGGTGGACATGTTATAGGCATCATAACGTGCGAAACATTCCAACGCATCAGTCTTCGTCGCCTTGTTTCAACGCATCAGTCTTCGTCGCCTTGTTTTACAGAGGCAAACACGCACAACTCAAACATCAGATGAACATAAAGCCTTATGCCTCAAGCCTCACGCATGACATCTATGTAGACCGGCAGCTTTGCACATTATTTCACATTTTTTGGAGGGACCGTTCGACCTTTAGGGCAACATCAGCAGTGTGAGCTAAGACAGGCATTGCATTGGGACGTTTAATCTTGAATATATCGCTGGTGTGAATGGAGAGAGGGGTGTTGCATTTGGCCGTTGCTTATTTGCCATGTCAAAACTCAGAGCTAATGCTGCATTAAAGCCGTGTACACGCACGCATCCGACTCTTCCAAACGTCCCCTGTACAAGGCAAACGCTTGTATAACGTATGTCCATCAGAAACCACACTAGCAAGCAGCCCTACATAAAACATGACTGATCACCCTAGAAAAAGATCTGACTCACCGAGCGCGCGCGGTCCTCCGGTAGCTCCGTGTCCTTGTTATCGGCAGGGCGATGTGTTTTTTGCGGGCATCGAGGACGAGGGGACAGAGGGCCACAGAAGGTGAAGCTCTGCCTCGCTTGTGCTCCCGTCGTTTCCCAGCCTCTCCCCCTTCACACAGACGCGGTGCCAGTCTCGGTCTCCACGCGTCTCAACACTCCCCCTAAAGGCCTGCGAACAAGCAGCTCCTCACTGCCAGCTGCTTTCACCTGTCCTCCTCCTCCTCCTCCTCCTCCTCTGCTCTCATATGGAGACAGATCCACAGACTTGGACGTGCAGCATAACAGCAGACGCTCAAACAGGTGACATCTATCTATCTATCTATCTATCTATCGTTGTGGCCAAAATATTT